TCGTTCACATTCAATTTAGCCTTACATGTCTGTACTTTCAGTCTTTTATATTCTTACTATTCTGATAAAGAGAAATATTGTTGCTTGAGCGAGAAATTCTCACATACAGGTATCTTTTCCTCCCCCCCCCCCTCTTGCTACATATATATATATATATATATATATATAGAGAGAGAGAGAGAGAGAGAGAGAGAGCTTGTATATGTATAGATGGATAGATAGAATAAGAACCATAATTTCACTTATTAGAATGCAAACACATACACATCTGTCTTTCTGTCAATCTGTCTGTCATTGTATTTCTGTCTATTTTTCGCCTTCCCCCCATTCTGTTCCCCTCATTGTTACTATCTAGCTCTCATATCTGTTTACAACATAGTTCAGAATATTCTAATACAAATAAAATACGATGGAGTCTTAAATTAATATACAAATTTTAAAATTCAATTAATAATATTAAACAAAAATAATATTTCAAAACTTATTTTCAATCAATTATATATTATTTCGAAACCATACATACACTCATATTAATAATATGAAATATAATTAATAACTCATAAGTATATTGAATATTGAATTAACTCAAAGCTTATAATTATAATTAATATGAGTATTAATGTTTATTTGATATTTATGTCTTATAAATTTATAGAATTTTTACTGTAGGAAGTCCAAGATTAAAATTAATTTCTTTTTATTTACGATGAACTATTGTTATGTCTTATTTATGTAAATTTGTATTTTTAAATAAGTAATTATATTTATATAATATTTAAGTTATAGCAGATTTATATTCATCAACCTATGCTTCAAATTTTAATTGACAAGTCGATGATTGGGTAACATGATTAGTCTTATCAGTCGGTGTACATAACAAAATGTGGGAAGTTTAATATAATGATAATATTCTATTTTTGTATAAAATTTAAATAGTTATTCAATGTACCCGAGTATTAATTGTACTTATAATGAGTTAGAGATTGTACTTATAATATAACAAAGTTTTATATTAATTACAATATTATTTTTATATGTATATAATAATATAATTATATTCTGGTAACGCAATTTTCATTTCCTAATTATTACCAAGTAACTAAAAAATAAATAAAAAAAGTATAAAATTTAATGTATTTAACATGTATATGAATTAGTAAATTATAATCCCGAATTATGAAAAGAGATATTCACATCAAATACATGTGAATAAAATCAATTTTATGAAATGTATTTACTAGTTAATAATTTTTTATAACTAATAGTTTTTTATGTAACAATGATTAAATAACCTTTAATGTAACAATTTTATTAAGCAATAATTTTTTATATTTACATCTATTATGATTTGTTTTCGTTAATTATTCAAAGTAAAATCAGAAGTTTATTTCTAAATGTAAAATATTAATAAAAATGAAACTTATTTGTTCCATAATTTTTTAATATGTTATCTCGTATTTTCATGCTTTTTTTGTTATTCCCACAGTTTATGTAATCTTGTTCGGCACGGTTAATATTAACATATACACGTGTTAAATTCTGAATGTTGAGCAATATAATTTATTCAAAAAGTGCTATTTTATTAACATTTATAATAGAATTTTATATAGACTTGTATATAAATAAATATAAATCTGCTACTATATTTAAAAAAAAAATTACATATACAGTGTATCTAACACTATGAATATTAAATTTTTTGCGTAATAACATTTAAAGAATGTCAGGAAATGCATTGTAATATCCAGATTTATTAATTTAATTCACCAACAGCGTTTAGTCGGGAATCAATACCAATGTGGAGTTTATAATTGAATCTCTTGATAAGCAAAAATTATTACAAATACTTTTATTTATATATTACAAAAAATACATGTTTGAATCAATTGATTATTATCGTTTTTGTATTATCTAATAAATAATAAGAAAATTTTTTTATAAGTAGTTAAAATGTATGTAATCATGAATTTTAAATAATTTATAAATTCTATATATATTCTATTTAGAAAATAATGATTATTCTGTTATTTTAAGTTACAAAAAATATTATTTAAATTTTTATATTATTAATTCTTAATTTTCTACATAAAGTATATAATTATAATTATTATAAATTGCTAAATAATTGTTTTCCACTTCAGATACTAGATAAATAATTTTTCATAAAATAATTTCCTGAAAATATATAATTTATAGCATTTGAAATGAAAGGTTTATAATTAAATAAATAATGACATTTTCGTATAAAAATCATATTTTGTACAATGCACATTAAATTAAAAGCCCATATTTTACATTATATATATTTTTGTCTATTAATTGTTTTATAATAATTGCATCTATAAACTACTATCAATCTTTATGTTTTATTTTTTCGTCTCGAATTTCTATTATAATATTACTCTATAAAGTATAATTGCTAATCGATATTTGAAACAAAAGTTCATTCTGAAAAATGAAGAGAATGGAGAAAATTGGAGACAGTGAAATAGAAATGAAGAGAAAGGAAGAGTGAAATGTTAATAGAGAGAAAGAAATATATATATATATATATATACCTGTGTATCAGTGTATCTATTTTGTATTTAACTATATATTTATCTATCTGCCATTCCCTTTCTATGTACTTCACTCATTCTTTCTTTCTCTTATATATATATATATATATATAGAGAGAGAGAGAGAGAGAGAGAGAGATGGACAGACAGACAGATAGATAGACAGACGGACAGACAAATAGCTATATAGAGACAGAAAATAGAAAAGAGAGGAAAGCGAAAAGAAAGGAACGCTTAACACAATTCGCGATTCACTGACCCTCGCATCATGAATGTTCAGTCGTACAGTGTGTTGATAGGAGCCTAAAAATAATTTTGACCGAGTTTTTAGCATCGCGCGGGAGAACTTCTGAAGAATCGACGTACTAGTGTAATTTGGAGGAAGACAAATGAAATTATGATGCGATCATCACATACTTATCCTTGAAATTTCATCAATAAGATATAAAGTTATTATTATTAGCACATTTAAGCAAAAAATTTAGTACTATTTTAAAAAAGAACTATAATTAAATTCAGATTGAATTACTATTAATATTCGATTTATCTTTAAGTTTAGTTATTGTTTTATTAATGAATTCATTAATTATTCTATTACTTTGTTGAATATTAATCTATTTTTGTTTTAAATTTATAATCTTAAGATAATTAATATATGTGAATGCTGAATCATGCAATTAATAAAATCATACATAATTGTTCACACTGTAATAATATATAAATAAAAGATATTTTATATAAATACTTTGTTATTTAATGAAACCAAAACGTTTACTAAGTGTTAATTACTTTAAAATAATGACCAATAAATTTACTTATCAATTCAAATATATTTATACGACATAAACAATACGAAATAAAAAATAGGAACATAATATCTTGAATATGCTACATAATTATCCTTCTTTATAGAAATATCTAAAATGGAAAATACAATTTTAATTAATAATATCATAAGAAATAATATATTATATACAGAGACTCGCTAAAAATAAACAAACAATTGAAACTATGAAAATTGTGAATAGCTCTGTTACACTATTATTATAAACATAAAAGTACTTGTTCGTAATTGTATTATTTATTACTACTGAATAAATTAAATTTTTTTTTAATTTAATACGTATTTTCATTGAATTTATAACGAACATTATTAAAAATGATATAAATATTTCAGTTATAGATTAAAACGATAAGTAAATAATTACTTCACAAGTTCTGTATAGTTAAAATTTATTTGCCAGATAGAATATGATATACTGATAAATAAGTTCTTATATTCTAAACATTTATAGCTATAGTAGATATTATAATAAAAGAATATATTAAACAAAACTGTACTTTCAATGACAATATAATATAATTATTTATTACTTGTGATTTGACAATTGTAATCGTGGTAAATTATATTATTAATAATGCTTCAAATATTTATATTATTAATTAAAAATAGAGTTAATAAACCAATTTAATATAAGTCTGATAGCAACCAGAATATGTATTAGTGTTTTAAAAATTACTTTTAATAATTAGAGTATTTCTAGATATAACTAATTAAAAATGAAAAAAATTTTATATCTATGACAGTATATTTCAATTTCAAAAATTAAATTCGTAAATTATTTTAAAAAATTTTTCTAGAAAACTGTAACATATATACTTTTAATATGAGATTCTAATAGTTTTTTTTGTATCATAAACATTTATAATTTGTAAACTATCAAGTTTCCGGCTGACTAATTTATGAATGTTTTTTTTTGAATCTGAGACAATTTGCCTATAATTATATTAGGATTAAAATAATGTTTTTGATACTAATTAATCTATTTAATACGTAAATTAAACAAGAGCTATTTAGTATATAATGTAAAAAAATTAAGTCATTGGAAGAAACTACACATGTGACTTGGTTTTAAAAAAATTATAGGTATAAATTGCAGTTGCATTTACATAGAATATTGCAGGAAAAATATGCTCAATGATATTTGTACACTCATTATCACAATTGCATAAGATAAAATGTTTGCCTTTAACACTTAGTATTTAAAAATTAGTAGTCAAATTATACAAATGGATATATATATATATATATATATATATATATATATATATATATATAGATTTATGTATTCAAATACAATTGGATGTTTAATTTTTTAATTTAAATAAACGTCCGAATTATTTATTTAATTTCCGTTTTTATAAATTTAAGTAAACAACATTTTATTACACATATTGAACATGTTTTCCATTTAATAAATACAAAAGATGATGTCAATTGTACATACACGAACATCACTTATAATCATTTAATTATGAGCGTTTGTCGGAGTGACTTGACTTCGTTTTGCTCCCACATAATATGATTGAGTCTGATATCACTTTATTAATTAACTTATTATTCATCAAACGGCACTTAGGCTTGCATTTAAGAAAACTTACCGGCCCAGCCGCTGCTTTCACCCTTTCGTTACTGCATTTTCTCCAATGTCCTGTGTACTTTGACGCCTCAAACTTAACCTCCGCAGATGAATGATCCTATTGAGTAGGACCTACGGGTGGTGGTTGCGTTTTTTCTCTCTTCTTCTTCTTCTTCTTCTTCTTCTTCTTCTATTATTTAACGTGCCCGAGAGGCAAAACTGTTGGACTTGTCCGTGTGTCGAACGAGGCTCGACTGACGCATGACGTCAAATCAAAAACACAGGCAGGACTCAGCTGCGAAGCTATCAGTTGCGTTGTTGCACGATTTAATGCGAATAGACCCGGTGGACGGCCAGCTGAGTCTGGCTCGATATCGTCCGCATCTACTTTCGCGGCGCATGCGCAGTGACAATGCTACTACGTCATCGGTTTGATCAAGAGAGCAATGATTGAGTTGGAAATTGTGCATATCGCCGCGAGCCGCGTGTTAAAGAAAATCATTCTTTGCAATGTGCGATAACTAATTCGGTCGTTCCTACCTCGATTGCGTAAGTATCGACTGGGAAATATAAATTATCTACTTTATCGACCCACGTATTCCAGATAGGTAGGTAAAGATGCTGTGGATTGGGCTCTCGTTTGGATGCGCAACGATGAAACATTAGTCATTACTCGATGAAATGCTTTGAATGTATTTCCTTTGGGAGAATATAATAGAATTTACATTTAATAGATAATGTGATATTATTTCAATAAGCAAAGTTATTTTTCATATAAGTAAAATATGTACTCTGTAATCGTGTTTATCAGTATTTAAACAAATTGCTTTAGCAATAGATATATAATTTAAGCTACATTATCACATACGCTTATACGATATATGTACGTTTAAAAAATATACAGATCATTAAATTCGAATAACAAAGGACTATGAATACGTTCTATGCATTATTTATAATAAAATATTCGTATATAGAAGAGAAATGTATTTCAACCTTCAAAACATTTAATATAAAAATTAATTAATAATGAATAGATGAATCTAAGAAATAAGAAAAGTAAATGAAAAAAGTCGGGAAGTTTCCTTAAGAAAATGAAATTTTAATTATTAAACGTAAAATTACAAATTTTATTAGTAATTAATATTTCATAATAAATATTTGATATTTTATTTAAAAATAACTTAATACATACATATATATATATATATATATATAATATATATGTACATTTAGGACGAATTAATGTGAAAATGACATTTCCTTTTATAATAATCTTCAAAAGGTAATAATAATTGTCACATTAATGATATAATAATTATTAAATGATATAAGTCTTATTAAATTAATTCGTCTTCTTTTCTGGAAACAAAAACCATAATTTTTTTATGATTGTGACATCTGATAATTTAGTATAAGACTATGATACTTCTTTTACGAAAATACTTAGACTTATTTAATTACATTGATTCATGTAAGTCTTTTAAAACTTTTTCGGTAGTCTCAAAATTTCTTTTACAATAAATCTACAAATAATCAATGTTAAATTAAATGTTAACTAGTATGAACACTCTATATATCCTAAGAGTATTTTTCGAGTGCATAATAGAATTTGAAAGTTGCTGTTCCTTTATTATTTAATTTTAATTACGAATTATTTTATATGAGTAATTTTAATGAAGAAAATTTTAATAAAAAAGGACTATAATTAATTTCACATTTTATTAATTTATTAATTTTTACACATCGGAATTGGTTTTCAATAATGTGAAAGAAAGAAATTATCATTTAAAAATTGAAATCCTTTTTTTTTTAATACATACAATATTACAGATATATTGAAAAATTTGAAGGTATATTAGTAGACAATTTTATTTAAGAAAACAAATACATTAAAGTGTGTTTTTATATTCTATTGCTTAAATATTGTTAATATATGTTTTGCAAATTGTTTACTATTTCATATTGGAAAAATGACATATTATTCCGTATTAACAAATTATAGAAGTATTGTAATAATAAACTGTAATATAATAACGTATGCATGTTATTATATGTATATTGTAATAAAAATAATCTTTTACGCATGATTATAATTATTACACTAATTTATTTTTTTTAAGCAAAATCAGTATTTTTTTATAGATATAAAATTTATGAAATTTCTAAACATAAGCTGTTTACAGCGATTTCAACAATAAGTATAATGAGATGGATACATATTTTAAACAATGTTTAAATAATATGTTGTAATAATATTATTTTATATACTTATTTTTATAAAATTACGGAAATGATTTTATTTATCCACTATTAATGAATTTTAATTTATTTGCTATCGATTACTATTAATAAGTAGAAATTATAACTCTTGTCTATTTTATAGAAAAAACAAACAAATTTAATATAATATAAATGATTGGTTAGATCTATAAATAAAATATCGAGTTTCTACAAATAATTCTGCGAATAACAAGTTCAAATTATAACAAAAACTATACCAGTAAAAAAAATTGAGTATTATATATAGCAAAAAGAGGGTATTGGTGAATTAATTACGACGTTAATCAAAAGCTAATGAACATTAAACTCAACATGGTTTATTTCAGGAAAAATTTAATTTTACTACAACTTGATCAAATGTTTCTCAACATAGTATCTATATCGATAAAATGAACCAATATAAATAAATATTCTACAATATACATATATATTATAAATGTTTATATTTTTCTTTAATTTATGCACCATATATTATTGACTTAAAAATAATTATATATATATATATATATATATATATATATATATCATTATCTTATTAATAATATGATACATTTGCTTTTTTTAAATAGTTAAAATTAATTAATATACTATCATTTGCAAATAACTTGTTTATAAAATATCGTTGAGTTTCTATTTGCTGGTTTACTTAGTAGTTTTATCAACTAAATATTCATATCGTTTAGTTTGTTGTTATTGTATCAAATTTGAACGCTTTTTTACAATCAATCAAATTTCTTATTTGGAAAAACAATTAAAAAATTGTAAATGAAAATACGTATGGATCTTGTCAGTGCAAAGTACATTTTAAATGTATCATAATTCATTAAGAATAATTAATATATTGCATGAGATTTCTTGCATTAATTCATATTTGCTCATTTATTATTTAAATTTTTATTAATTTCAAAAATTGAAGAAAAAATGAAAAATTTGAATTTTAAGATATATAAATTATAGTTATACATATACATGAGATTCATTATTAAATTAAAATAAATACTTGGGAATTTGATTATTCTTATAGAAGTAATGAAGATTCCTTTAATGTATAATGATTATATATATATTGTGTATTTATGAAAAAATTATTATTTAATTAAAATTAATCGAAAACTTTACTCTGATTATATTTCACAACTTTATTGCATGCATATCTACATATATGGATATGTCACGTATCTAGATACGTGTGCTAGTATAATTGCGGTATATGCACGGTAAAGGAAATGTATATATATATATTTATATATATACTTAATAACTATATGGTTGTATTCATGTATTGATAATGTTAATTTAATAGATATATATCTATATATGTTAAAATATATGTATTGATGTGTGAAATGCTTAAGGATGTTTTGATATAAGGCAAATGTGAGTTTGACCCTTGTTTATAAGTCTAATTAAAAAAAATTTAGGTAGGTAAGGACTTCCAGTATCTAGTATGGAAAAATGAAAAATAATAACAATAAATTTTTTCGATATATTCGAATATGTTAATAATTAAATTAAAATACAAATTAAATCAAGCTCATATAATACAATTGTTTAAAAATGTTTTGTCTCAAGATTTACAAAGAAAAAAAATAAATAGTTAAATAATAATACAATATATGAAAGAATACATATTTTTAACATATTATTTTCAATGTTGATTAATTGATTATTTAATACAATTTTAATTTATCTATTAATACTAAAATAATCTTTTATATTAAAATTAAATTTATAATCGAATGATATTTATGCACTAATTATATATTTAAACACTATGCGTCTATTTCAATACAATATATATATATATATATATATATTTCTATATATTTTTTGAGTTATATATTTTTTGTGGGTTAGGTAACCACACACTACACATAAATACTTTGTATTACATTTTAGTAGCAGATTCTATAAAGTTTAAATAATTCTTGACTTTTATAAATACATCTGGGTAACCTCTTGCACATGGAGTACTAAATGAATAAATACCAATAATTTTGTCTTTAAAAATTAATGGACCTCCACTGTCGCCCTGTTTGATATTAAAAAAGTATTTTAATTAAATGTAAAAATAAATCGAGTAATAAATCTAAAAATGTTTACTTTCTATTATCATTAATATATGTTTTCATTAATTTTATCATTAACATATGAATAATTTCATATAATTTACTTCCAAAAGATTATAAATATTACCCGAAAAGTTAAAAAAAAAAATTAATTGAAATTTCAGAAAAACTTACGATACATCCGCCAACTCCTATTTTTGTAAAGGTACAAATGTATTGAGATAAAATTTGAATCTTTGTACGCGACACACAGGCATCGGGGGTCATTATTTTTGTGGAAACTTTTTGAAGCTGCTCTATATGGAATGTGGATGGATACTCTACAAGTCCCCAACCAATCATTATAACTTCATCTCCTGGTTTATTCTCTTCTTTCGCAAGAATTCCCTTTTTTTGAAATTCGTTGAAACGTATCCTATTTATAACCTATTAAATTAATATAGAATTTTTATTAACTTTATTCAGTTGTAACATATATAAATATATCGTTAAATTTTATTAAAATAACATTTTAATTTAAAGCTGTTAACATTTTTAGATATATTTCTTTATGTGGGAGAATATAAAATAAAATTGCATAAAGCGTGATTGCTGAAAAAAAGAAAAATAAGCAAACTGATAAATATTCATTAAATTTTCACTTTTACCTTCTTAGTTCTATAGACGTATTAAATGAAATACTTTAATTCCAAGATCGAAATTATTATAATTATTGTTATACGATATATGGCAAAGACTAGAAAAATGAATATGAAATTAATAATGATGTATTAAATTAATCTAATATACCATAAACATCGGCATTTTCAACTAAAATCTATTGCTTAATTGCTCTATTCAACAATAACGAAAATTTTCATCAATTATTGAATATAGGGAGCCACTCTGTAGATGAAGAAGTCAAAATATTCTTAAAATCTAGATTTTCAACGAATAGTCAATAGGTATTTGTTATCCTGTATGTTTATTTTTTTGAATTTTTTTATCCAATTAACAATTATAACATAAAAGTTCATCCCTAAATTTAAAATGATAGAATGAATAATATTTGCGGAGGTTTTGAAAATATAATATCAAACTTTTATATATATATATATATATATATTTATTTATTGATAATAATATATTTAAAAACTTGAAATTTGGGTCTATTTAACTGGATATTTAATTGTTAATTAATTGATATATATATATATATATATATATATATATATTATATGTAATTAAATTAATATATTTAATTGGGTCTATTTGGATAAATTACAATTAGTTTTATATGAAAATCTTTTTATAATAATGTTAAGAATTGAAATACATTTAAGTTGACTACTTTCGAGTTAGATATTTAAATTTTTGCAATTATGGATGATTTTAATTATAATTTAAAAATTTTGTAATTATTTTAGAAATAGATGTTGGTGGATTGGCATAGAAATTGGTGTGTGTGTGTGTGTGTGTGGTTTATTCATTTCATAATTATTTTACATTATGTAATGTTGTTTTTTTTTTAAAGGTTCCATTTATTAATTACAAAAAAATTATTAAAAGTTTTAAAAAGTCTCAAAAAATAGATATTACTGTGTTATCAAGATAAATGAAGAAACTAAAAACACCTGAATCAACAATCTATTAAAAATACAAACTAATATTTATTCAATCAATGGCAAAACGCTTGAATTATTTAGGGTTTACCAGAAAATAAAACGAAAGAAATCTACAATTGTAATTCTGTTCTATAATACCTCGAAAAAATAAAAAGAAGGAGAAGCACAGATCCAGTTACTTATTCTTTGTATAGTGATTAGTGATAACATTAGAACATTTTAAATTTTTTGCTTTCGTCAAGTTGCCATCCGGCACTTTTTACAAATTATAGGAAAAAGATTATATACTATAATTTATTTCAAAGTATCGGTAAAAGCCGAGATCGGTCAACTCGACGTTCATGGCACAGCGAATGTCGGAGGATTGGAACCAGCCAAATGCCGTTAGCGCTGTCAAATCGGCGTGGTAAATTACGCCATGAATGTAAGCAGCGATCGTCAATTGCTCAATTGGGCTTCCTAAGTCCTTTCGAACTACCTAATCCACTGCCGCTACCATTGCTGTTTAACGCGTCATGCTCAAACAGAAACTGCTTCGTCCGTCATCTCCACCGGTACTTCACTTGCTTTGTTATTATGGCTATTCGACGAGAACTCTAAGCGAATACATAGGCGTGTTGTGGAGGCGACAACGCCATTTGGCGTCACTCCTCTATCGTTCCGGCACGGCTTCCCTCGGTCATCCTTTCTCCTATAATCCTCCTCGTTTTGCCATATCGTCAGTCTATATCACGTGAGTAGTCAAATCAAATCTCGATACCATCTTTCCTATGCACCCGCGTATTACATGTCTCATGTAGCGCATCATGTCATCAAGTGTAAAGAGCAAACGCATTATGTAACATCACAATTATTATATTATAAAATTATTCATCATTATTTACTGATTATTCTTATTTTGGTTGTATTATATTTGTAATTGGTAAAAAATGGTGGTAATTGTTCCTAATCACTACTGATAGTAGCAAATGATTGAAGATGTATTCAAATTTTTGTATTATATTATGACATATTTATTATACTTAGAAGCACACTTCTATTTCCATTTATATATAAATATATATAAATACATAAATATATAATTACATATATATATATATATATATATATATATAAATAGAAATATATATAAAAATTTTTTTATAATATATAATAATTTGAATACTTTTATTATTAAAATCAATTTAAAATTGAAATATATTATTCACTTAATAAGTAATTTAATAATTAAAAAACAATGTTTATATACCTTTACCACGGCAAGATCGTTGCGAGAGCCATTTTTTGTACTTGAAATTTGGAAATCTGGATGAAGAGTAACATTACTAATCTCGTTATAGGACTCAGTTGTTCTCCAAGCACTGGTAGATCCCATATGAATTTTTATAACCAAATAATAATCTGTTCTGTCATATAAACAATGAGCCGCTGTCAAAATATGCCAATGTGTAATGATAGCACCACCACAAAAATGTTGATTTCCTTTTGGCATTCTAAACGAGACCATAAATGGAAAATCCTTAATATTTGCATCTTCGCCGTTAATAATTTTTACTGTTTTACCGAGGATATCTAAAACAATTGAAGCAATTTGTATCCCTTACAACAGAAAATATTATTAATATTTTATTTTGCTGTTATTCTCTAATTTTTTAAATTCTCTTATTTTTCATTCTTCCAGAAGGAAACTGTATCATATCCTTGACAATTACTTAATATAATATACGTAACAAAAACTTAACAAAACATTATAATATACTACATTAAACAAATTCGATGTTTAAATAGTTTTTGTTTCAAATTTAGTGCCAATTAATATAATATACTTTAATATTATATATTCGAAAACAGTGGTATTGGTTCATTTTTCATATAGAATATATTCAATGTATGTAAATAAATTTTTTATCAGTGCAATATTAGTTTTTTACAATTTCTTTAAATTCATTCCAATGAATTTTCAGATAAATTAATTAAATACGAACAGTTAGATAAATTTCCACTTATAATTCCGAATAATGTATACAATTATTAATGTAAATATCATTTTAGTTATTAAACAAATAAATAAGAAATTAATAAATAATACATTTAAAATTTTGTGAGAAACTATTATAAAATTGGAAAATCGTGAAATATAAAATTAGAAAATTAATTTTGAAAACTTTATTATTATGCATTTAAATAAATTTCAATTACATAAATCAATTATAGTCTTGTAAAAAAAATTGGCTGAATATGTGAATATGAAAATCTTTAATATTTGATAATGTAATCATATGTATTAATAAATTTTATTGACAATGAATATATTAATGTATATATTTATACAAAAAAAATATTTATATGTATTATACATGTTTTCACTGTCACAACTGTTTTATTAATTTAAATTTCAAATTTACATATTAATTTAAAAGTATGTAAAGAATTAAAAATCTAAAAATGTATGAAATTCTAAAATTATGATATTTTTTACAATTAAATAATAATTGTATTAATTAAAATTACGTAAAATTTAATCCTTCAATAAATTTTTTTTAATTTCTGATATTTTATTGAAACATATTGAAATTTACTAAATCACTGTTAAAAGATAAATATATTAATACTAGAGCATTAAAATATAATATGGTGCAGTAACTAGAATATCATTATATATTAAAGGAAAATTTCTGAACTATACTTACTTAAAATTAATAGCAGACAGAAGAATATTATGATGATAAATTTCATGTCCTTCGATTAAAATTAAAGGAACTTTCTATTATTAATTGTGTCGATAAATTAAGGAAATATCATGAATTGACGACCTAGTACTTAACACTATGAATTATTAAACATTATTGTATGCTGTTTTCTATATCGAATTAAGAGAATTTCTATTAATATTTACGTAGAGACAATATTTTAATCGATACAAATAATAAAAACCATTTTCAAAAATACATGTTATATGACTAAATGTATTCATATTTAAATACAAAACTTCGTGACAAATAATCAGTAATGATAAAGAACAGAAGTTTCTTTTATTATTGATTCTTTTATTATAAATAAATTATAATTTTATATATTTGAAGTAGCTAAAAGAATTTGCACTACTCTTATATAAAATATTTAATTTTATTATTTACATGAGTCATAATAGAGTTGTAAAATTGTTGAGAAAGAAAATTTCATTTTAAAAATTATTTGAATATATTAAATTCGTGAAAGAGATATTATTTGTATATGAAATAACTATAATTGTGTACTAAAAGAATTGATTATTGCGAACATACTAGATTTCAGAAAATTCAACGTATATGAAAATGATTTTATAAAATTATTTATGCCAAACAGATTTTCAAATATTTCTACAAGTTCATATTAAATTCTCTGTGAAATATATGATTATACTAAATTAGTTTACTTATTTAAATAACTTAATTAAATAACTGCTTTGTAATTTCATCCATTCAAATGTTCAAAAATTAATTTTATAAATAATGTATTAAATGTATTCTTAATGAATCTAATAAGATTGAATAAATAAATATTGTGCACAATATATATTTTTAATTATAAACTAAATTAATTTGAAACACATAAATTATATGATTGTTGAATACAAAAAGAAGTTGAGTAGACTAGTTAATATGATTTAAATTAATCTATTTAACCTTACTTTATATTAGTAACCAATGATAAATATCTGTAATATATAATCATAATATTTCATTAAATATTAAACATTAATGTCTAACTGTTATCTGCATAAGTGTAAACAACTTATTCATTATATATATATAGTCTATAAATTTATTATTATTTTATATTGTGAATAATTTATACGAATGAAAGTTTTAAATACACATCCATATAATACATAAAAGAAATTACAAAGAAAAATAATAAAAAAATTCAACCGCCTCTAGAAAATTATTTTAAGAATATTTTTTCATTTCCTAACCTTCTTTCTTTTGCTGTAGATTCATACAGGTGACTATAACTAGAAAATAAACTTTTGAAACAAATATGAAATGATTTAAAAATTAAAAATCAATTTTTTCTATTGAACTCATTTTTTATGGAATGAATTTTTCATATTTTTACCTACTGACTAATCATTAATTATTCAGATGTTCCTCAATGTTTTTTTAAACAAAATTTTATTATCTGTTATCATAAATAAGCGAAGTTTGTTTTCTTTTCTTGTAATATTATTTTAATGAACTTAGTAAATATAAGTCACACTTTTTTATTAAATTGTTAACCTTGCCAGGATATAGAGTCTAAATAATATATATTCCAGATATACTAACCCATATGAAAAAGTAAAATAAAAATTGGTAATTACAAAATTATTTATTAATATTTATTATTTTTTTAATTTCGTGAAAGTTTATCAAGCAGTAAAAATGATATTACAATATTATATTAAGAAAATTAATAATTAATATGGTTCAGTAGTGGTAGCTACTTCGGTGCAGTCAAGGATTCTTTGTATCATTAGAATAATATTCATAATTATTCCTACTATTCTATCAGAGAATGGGTTTGAAAATTGTTTAGATAAAAGGCTATTCTATATTTCTTAAAATATAATTTTCATGATTCATTATTATATAATTAAATTCGTCAATATTATATTTATAGACGTGTTCATCAGCTTCAATATTTTACTAATATTTGTTATAAATAAGGAATTACAGTTTTTTAATATAATAAGTTTTTCAAATATAATACCATGAACAATAATTGTTTATTTAGAGTTACAAAGCTAAGTTAAACATGAAAATAAAATAATAATGTATATTATAAATATAATTTGAGTTTTGCTCCAACTGAAATTTTTTCATCTAAAATAATATTAATGAACATTTTATTTGGCTAACAAAATTGATTTAAATACCACTGTTATTAGTTTCCAATATTAATATTAAAAGAATTCTATATTAATTCTTTAAAAATGAATTAGATTCTTGTTTCTATTAATTATAAATTAATTAATACCTAATAAATTAAACTATAAATTAATTAATAAATTTTGTAAATAGTCGCAAAAAATTTTCGTAAATAATTCTTATAACATATTAAATAATTAATTAATAATTTTGCAATTAAGAATAAATCATATTTGCAGCTGTCATAATATTTCTAGCATTTGTTATTTTCCTCGTTTACATATTTGTAATATATTATGTATATTATTAGAATTATTTATCATTCACGCATCATTATTCAAATTTTCAGTTATAACTTGTATTTCTAAATTTACTAATGTACATTACTTCCTTCTTAATAACTATAATAGATATTATTAATACATCTTACTGTGTATGTGTATGCATGCGCCTTTTCTACAAATTCGAAAGAATTTTCGTTACTGAAAAGTACACATTACTCGTTCAATCTTATTTTAACCAATACATAACATAAAAAAAACGTTATTTACGTCTTTAGTGTTTCAGATATTCCATCATCATGGAATTTAGTCATATTTTATTATCATAATTAGTGCCATATCAAATCTTTTACCATTCTACAGTAAATACTTAGATAATAATCTATTTAAATTTAGATAATAATCTATATGTATATAATCTGTGCTTTATAAAAAGATATAAATTTATATAGCAATTTATATTCATAGCAATATGTTATAATATTTATTTTAGCAAAATTCCTTAAACTTCTCATAATTATCATGGCAACTTCGATAAATATATTATTGATTACCTATTTTTCATTAGTTTTCATTTAGTTCTTAATAGATTGCCCAGAAGTAAGCATTGAATTAGTTTATGAAAAATAATTCTATATGTTGGAATTATTGTATAAAGCATTATAATTTTTTTGCATTTTTGTTTTTTATTCTTTTAAATTTTTCAAAAATAACAAATTATAAATTCTTTGATTATCGAATAAAAGTACATCATATACTAGATGCAACCTTCAATGAAAATTAATAATAAATATTTATTTATATATACATATACTGTTCAATTTATATGCTCATTTACAGAAAGAAATCAACAAAAAATAACTAAAATATATATTTACTTGTATATATATATATAATGCGTAATTATTTATAAATTATTATGTTATTGACGTATTTGATGGTTGAATAAAGAATTATATATACTTTTTATTAGTAGTATTTACTTACATTTTAGAAAAATAAATATTATTAGTATGGTGTTAAATATTAAGTTCCTCAAATAATCAATATAATGTAATCGATTAGTACAAATATTTATTAAATACTTGAAACTATTAAAATTATATCTTAATGTAAATCGTTTTTTATTGAATTTTTTATGAAATTTTCGTAATTGAGGGGAAATAAAGTTCGAAAAAATAACAATTATGACACTACATTGTGAAATCAATAATAATTTTCTGTAAAAATAATGTAACAATGCCATTGAAAAAATATGAGCAATCAATTTTTTATATTATAACAAATTTCTTGTATTGTGTAGTTATTTTTTTTTTTTTTTTTTTTTTTTTTTTTGATTTTGATGGTACATAATTTTCGGAGATCCAGCTCAAATAAAAAAATTGTATCTTTAGTTCCTGGA